GGACTGATAAACATGTTGATATTTCTTTTTAGTAGGTACGAGTTCATCCCATAGATGACTTTTGCTCTACTCGCCGATAATGATGTTATCGCGTCTCTGACGTCATTAGGGGTAACATAGTCAAAACTTAGAGAGATATTGTTTGGTACGATAATATTAAACATAGAAAGGGGTTCATTTATATGAACATTATTGTGGGATAATATCTCGTTAGGTATATTAACAAAATATTGATTCCATTGGTCAGCAGAGTATAGATCAGTAATAACCTTAGATTGGCCTTTTTTTGCATTAATAATATCCCAAACCATCTTTGATTTGTTACTAGCATTAGTAATGACGTTATCATTTGAATGTATTCGGGCAATACGAACTGCAGCTCGGTAAGCACTTCTGCAGCGAGTATAGGCCGATTTTAAGCCAATCGAACCTGCCAAAGTGTACATTTCATGTAGTAGTTTGAGCGTGCTTCTCATTTGTTTTAATTCTGGCGTAAACCATGAGATACCACCGTCCCAGCGTTTACTTTTAGTTATCCTAATAGGAAAACATTCCATAAAAATTGCGACAATATGATCTATAAATTTAGAGAATTTGTCACTGAAAGTGTGATCATATAAGTAATTAAAGTTTGTATGTTCCAAGGCGTTATGGAAATTAAATAAACCTTTTTCCGTAATGGGACGATCACATTTAGTCTGCAAGTCTTTAGAGCTATAAAACCTTGGTAATGTAAAGGTAAGCAACTGAGCATGATGATCAGATATGAAGTTTGTGACAGTGTCTGCAGCTACCACATCACACTTCTTTAAGTTGGAAAATATATTATCTATAAGTGTTTTGGATTTTCCTTGAACTCGCGAGTAGTCAAAAAACAACTGATGCAAACCGTAGGATGCGAAGATGTTGATTAAGCTCGTTGATTCATTTCCAGGATCGGCCAAGTTACAGTTAAAATCACCGCATATTATATTAACCGTCCTGTGCACGCAGGTATCAGAAACATGTAGCAAATCTTCTAGTTGCTCCAGAAAGGTAGCAAATGAAGATCTGGGCGGTCTATATAGGCAAATAACCTTTAGATTAATTCCATCAAGACATACTTCAAGCGAGGCTGCTTCCAGATTTAGATCAGTAGTAGCTGTAACAGGAAGGGCATTAACTTTATCCCTTAATTGTTCCTTAACAAGGATAAGCACTCCACCACCGCGCGAATTGGTTCTGCAAAAGCTAGAGCCTACCACATAACCGGGTAATTGGAAAGTGATTATTTCATTAGTACGTAACCAACTTTCAGTCAAGCAGACAATATCGGGCAAATTGCAATTGGTCAACAGTTCATAAATAAGATCTAGTTTATTGTGTACACTACGCACATTTATACACATAGGTAATAGTAAAGTTATTTGTAGCACATTTAACGACACTTAACTCAGTGCGGATTTCATCACTTTTGGCTGAAAAAACCGTTTCAGAAGTGTACCACAAGGCCATATTTCGGGGTTTAAAATTTTATCCAGATTCGTTGAATCTATTGTTAATTTAAAGGACGAGTATGCCTCCGGAAATTTAGATATCAGTTTAACGCATTCTATTTCTGGAAAATCCACTTTTAAACATTCGAGGATATCAGAATCCTTAGTTTGTGCATCTAATCTTGAAACAAAAACTGAAGTTTTTTTCGCCGCTGCCTTCAATGTCCCTGTACTGGAATTTCCAATTATTGGAGGATTCCTACTGGACGATTTTGGTTTGGACTTTACTACAGTGACCCAAGTTTGTTCAGTTTTTTTATCCGAATTAATCACGGTATCTTCCACTGGTTTATCGGATTTCATAAGTGACGCCTTTTTTGAAGACGGTTTACGTTTATTACTCAAATCAACTGAACTCGATTGAGGAGAGTTATTTACCAGATTTTCACCCGATATAGCATCGTTAACATTTTTGTTGGTCACATTAGATTGCAGGCTTTTACCGGAATTTGTAGGAATATTTGTGTTATGCGATTTAAAATGATTAGCAGCCGTTAACTTATTTTCTAAGGTCACAATTTTATTATACAGTTCTTGTATAAGTAAATTTTTACCTTGTAGAATAATTTTCAGCAGCTTTACAGTAGAGTCAGCTTCAGTCAATTCATTGAGTAGTGCGTTTTCAGAAGCCAGAATGTCCGATACTTTAACCTTATCTTGTAAAACACATTCGTCAGTATCACAGCAATTGAAAACATCAATGTCTTTTGTGATATTACATTTGAACGATTTGCTGGCACAGCTGTTGTGATAATATTTGTCACAAACTACACATTGCACTCTTTTTGTTACTGTTTTGCTATTGCAAACACCGCAATTATCGCGAGGCGAATTGAGCACGTCTTTACCGTCCAACATACTATACAACATATTTAATAACCTTTAAGGTATTTAATTAATATATAATAACTTTGAAGGATCTTTAGGATCCTTATAATAATTATTAAGGATCTTTAAGGGCATTTAACGATCGGCAGTAGTTTCCAACACCTTCCCTCGGCTCCATATATACTCCGACCCTGTCGGATTCTTTTCTCTGTTACTGAAACATCCGTACAACAGATGGTCTCGACCACTAGGGTTCTTTGCCACTATTCCTTCTCATCTTTTTGTTGGTATAATTATAGGTAGGTACTTACATACATACCTAGCTACCATAAGACATTTTTGTGAGATACCTACATTTTCTTTATTCCGTCACGAAGCATTTCCATGACGTGTATTTTACACATCTCATTGAAACTAATCCGATCAGGGGCGGTTTTATACATCTACTCGGGGGGGGGGGGGGGGCGAAAATAAAAAAAAAGTTACAGAATTGCAGATGCAGGGGTGCGCGGGATTTTTTTTTAAGTAGCTTTGACCCAATTCAGTTGTTTTTTTGTTAAACTATCTATTGCCGCATTAATTTCCGAATTCTAACGAAGGACAGAAAAAATACGACAGGCAATAATGATAGTGCTAAAGGTAAAAACCGGTATGTCTCGATATACGTGTAACAAAGCCAAACCAGTCAATCTCTTCTGCCCCATTTGTGACCGAAGCCATGTTTTGAGCCTACGGAGAGTGGAAAAACTGCATTCGGCCTTTGAATATAAAATTAGGTATATTCAAAGGTTCGGCCGATGCAACGCTTGTATTTTATTCAATTTTACTTTTCCGTCAGGTGGTTTGTGGTTAGGTCTATTTAATTCGATTATTATGTAAACCTAATGAAATAAAAAAAAAAACAATTGAGCAGTATGTTTAGGGGAGGGGGGGCGATCGCCCCTGTCCCCCCCCCCTAAAAACCGCCCCTGAATCCGATGTCCTTCTTTACAGAGCTCCTCTTTACTGCACACTCCTTTCAAGTTTCAATGCGTTCACTCCTCCAGGTGAAGCAACGGTATCTAGATCCACTGTGGAAGTTGTTGGGCATCGCCCGTTTTATGTCCAAACCGGTTACCCGCTCCCCTCTGTTTACTTTTATCTGACCGTCTTGTGTTTGGGCTCGTTGCCGCTGCACTAAGGCCGCATATGTAATGATCAGTTTAGCCATTGTTATACAATCCTCTAAGATACAATCATAATCGTAATCCACAATAGGTTAGTTTTGACGTAGGTTCCCATCTTTTTCCAAACATTCGTCTACAGGTTCATATGGTACCTTGAGAGCCTTGTTTGTTATTTTAACTAAATGTAATTTATGAAATATCAAAGCCCTGTCGAGTGTCACTTCCAGACTTTCAGACGGGATTTTTTTTCGAGGCGTAGTCGACTTTGGGTTGGGTAGGTACTATTTTGTAGAGGGTATTTAGCGAAATATCCACCCACATGTGAACCGGTGAACGGAACGTCGGAGGCGGCTACCGGCAAAGGGAATGTAGTAGCCCCCGACAAGATCTTACTGATGGTGGAGTCAAAACTTCAAATGTGGGTACCGACAAACAAAGGGAATGTGTTTGCCTCCGACAAGACCTTACTGGTAGTACCAAAAAAGAAATATATGCGTCAAAGTTAAAATGGTAAAATCTAAATTTAATTTTCGCTCTCTTTTCCTATATTTTGTTAGTTAAAAGTGATACAGAAACATGTTTTATAACGAAGTTTATATGTATATTCTAATTTTTAAATACTCCAACCAGAGACGAAAGAAGATTTTTTGCATTTCAAGTTTAGCAGTACGCCATGTAAGGGAAATTACAATATCTACTTTTATTGCAAATTGACGCGCATAATTTCCGTGTGGTGTTCATTGGAATGGATAATAAAAACGAGGTAAATTCTCTGTTCTTAATTGAGTCAATTCATATTTACTATTATTCCACTACGGCGTGCGAGTTCTGTCCAACCAAACATGCGCAGATAGGTACCAAATTTCGCCGAGATATTCTTTGGTCCATCTTGAAATATCAAAACTTGAAAAGCGATATCCAAAAATGTACCTATGTATGTACTCCGAGTGGCAAGGAGAACATTTACATCCCCAGTGGGCCAAAACGTCCCTCAGTTACGTTACATAAACTTGGCCATTGTTGTGCAAAAACCATTGGCAAGGATGCTTTAACATGTATTTGCATTAGTAAAGTTCAATATGAAACATAAATTAAAATGGTTCCAATCGGTTTAGTCGTTTAACCGGAAATGAGAGTTTGACAAACAGACCGATACCATCGATATTTTATTTGATTTGGATTCCTGGTTGCTTCAAAACGTGTAATTTCCGTAAAAAAAGTGGGGGGTCATTTTTACCCCAATGCAATACATTACCTCCCTTACTAATGTGCGGTTAGTAAAAAGCATGGACCAGGGCATGGAACTATACAGTCACGGACAATATCAATAATGCTTTGATTGAGAAAAACTGTATGCTTTTGTATGACCCAGTTGATTGCTTCACAAGTTTTGACATTGGTGCCATTAACCATTAACGCTTACTAATTATCTAATGTGATCTGAAGTAGAAAGTCGAGGAAACTGGTAGGATACTAGGTACGAGTACATTCTTTATTTGTATACCTATCAGTTGAACTTATGCGAGGATGATTTTGGCCGTGGCCGTATAGCTACTATATACATTTGAAAGATAATATACTTATTATTATATTATTATAGATAATATAGTCTACGCTGAGACTCTGAGACTTTAGATTATACAAGCTGATCTAAGTCTGAGACTCTGTGCTAAAAGGAAGGAATTGCTGCAATTTTGTTGTATCTGTTTTCATACAGCAGCGTATCGTTTGCATTAAAATAATCTTCAGGCGTCACGAATACTTCTCCTCCAAAATCATTTAAAACGATAATGTTTTCTACGCATAATTTACCGATGTAAAATTTGTGAACTGTGGATTAAATATTTGTTGAAATGAGAAAGTATTGTTTTTATACGAATACATACCTTTTGGCCAAAACTTCATAGCAGGGTGTCTACTATATAACGCATCTTTTGCAAATTGGTACTCTGCTGTGGTGTTATCCAACTATAAATACGAAAGTAAAAATTAGTAAAACAGCGCAAGTGAGAATCGGCTTTAATTAACACAAAGTTTTATATGGATAGGAAGGAATTTGATGTTATAAAAGATGATTTCCGGCAAAATGTAATACAAAACTCGTTAGTAAAATGACACTAGTTCACTTTGAGATTAAATTACTCGGTCCTAAAGGCGCCTCGTACATCAATATTTCCTCGCCAGTAATGTGTCATTTTCCTGACGTTTATGCAAATGAGCCCCGTAACTATTATAATCTATTTTTCTAGTTGGTTTTCGATACTATTTCTAGCGTTAGTCCGTCTGTCCGCCCGAAAGCATTTCTGAATTTGTTAAAACTATTGTGTAGAAGAACTGTTTTACAGATCGAACTTTTTTGCAATAGGTAGCCTATAAACCTTGAATTCTGAGATGCCGATTTACAACTTGTTTTTACATGCAGTCATGTAACACCCTGTACATATTAAAATTGTACCGTTCATTATACCTGTGATCGACTGATTAGATTTGCAACTATATTTCAAAACTAAGTTAGGATACTTTAAAGAAATGTTTTTTTAATATCTCGGTAAGAAATTTTCACTTGTTTAAAAAGTAGTTTGACGAATTAATGAATTCTGGATTGGCACGTATGTACCTTAGTTAGACCTTAGACCTCAAATTCGGGCCTTTTTGTACTACCTCCCTGACTCAACGTCACTCAATAAGCCATCCCACACGTGAGATGAATTAATGAATTATAACTGTTGTACTCATTTTGAGAAACGAATATTGTTATATTTAAAGTTCAAGATCTTTGTTATTTGATTTTGTTTGCTACGTCCAAGAAATGAATTACGGAAGCCGAATTTTGAAGATATTCCGGCAGTTTTTGACATAGAAGAAATAGAGAATCATTTCTAGACATTGTAACGTGAACCGTTACAAGGATATAGAGGTACGTACTTACTCTTTCAAACTGTCCTGTTAAAATAACGCGAGCACATCTTGGATCCTCGGGATCATACTCTTTTTCTTTACAATAGGGCAATTCTGCAAGTGATCCCATTACAGAACATCTTGGATTCGCCTACAACAATTTCTCTAAGATTAATTTACCTACTTACGTATCATACTTCTAAATCTTTTCCCGAAAAGTCAATACCAGTCATCAAAATATATGGAATTCCAGTTCCTTGTGATATGGGACCATCGCTCATTGATTTGATATTTGTGAATGGATATGATTTGGCAAATGGTAAGGTGGAAATTGTTGCAATCGAAACCCAATCTAGTCAACAACAATTCTTACATATTATAAATATGAATATACCCAATGAGTTTTTCGCTTACCTACGTTGTGTATAACATATCGTGCCGATAAGGCTTTTAACTGAGGGTTTGGTGGGTCAGAATTAATTACAGTAATGGCGGCCAAAGCAAAGCGCAATGAAGCCAAAAATAACGTTTTACTAAGCATGTTCGTTATAACCTTTGTATGGGCTTTGAATCGTGGTACTGTGTAATGGTTTGCATTTAGCATTGAACTCAAATCAAAAATAATTTGATGCTCCCTACTCAATCATTATTGACCTATTGCAAAAACATCGATATAGATAACAACCATATTAACTGTTCTTATTATAATTAGTTACGTTAGGATTAAGTTCAGGAGCGATTTAATTGTTGAGAAAAGAATATCTGAATGTCAAAAAACTAAGAGTGTTATTAAATAAATGTGAAAACAAATATAGCTAACGAGCTCCTGTGTATGGCTGTTAGCTTGTCGTTGCGTATTAGGTATAGGTATGCTATGTTCATCTTAAATTCCTTGCAATTCGGTTCATAACTGTCGGATGTCAAAAGAGCCTACATTGCGAATTCACGGACTCCGATCTACAAATTTGATAAAGAATCCGCCCGCAAAATTTCAGCGTAATCGGGCCATTCGTTTTCGAGATATCGTGCATCGTGCTCAAGTACAGACATCACAAAATTATGAATTTGCTATACAGGGTGGGCCATTAGTGTGTGGGTCGAAGGTTGTGGGTTTATTAAGGCAAATATTTATTTAAATTATTAATTTATTGTCCGGGCATGTTGAACGACCCTTAAGGCTACAACCTAAAAATATTTTCAAAAAATGAAAGTGCGTTGATGTTTCTAAAATGCTTTTTAACGTAGAATAAGATCATATTATAAATAAAATTTTGATATCCGCATCCGTGTTTATTTTACATACATTTAAAAAATGCAGGTTTGACTGCTGAACCCAGTATTGTAGCGAATATTCCAGAAATTCCGACAGACATCCACACGCACAGAAAGATTAATCATCGGCGATAAAGAACGATAAGGCGGATGTCACGCAATCTTTCCGGGAAATATTATGTTTTGTTTTGGAAAATTCGTGGGCACTCGGAGTTCGCTATATAAGCAAACTGAATTGCGTTTCAGGACAGTTATAATTTTAAAGTCGAAGTAATAAATAGTTCGCGCTGTTATAATATATAATATAATATGGAAAAAGAACCTGAAACTTACTACTTAGGATACATGTTGTTCATTTATAGCATACAATAATACCAGATAAAGGACAAAGAGGGAAACCCGAAGCAGCAAAACTCCAAGCGGAACCCGAAGGGAGGACCGGAAACCTTCGGAAGTCACACGGAAACCGAGAAATGGACATTGGAGCTCTTGTTCCAAATACACTTTCGGGGATCCAGAACCTTAAAACCTAATACAAACAGGGACAATAGGTACCTGCCTATTCCAGTATGGAAGGGAATAGGGAAGCAAGTACAACTGGCAACTAGCAAACACCATCATGCAAATCTCTTGTGTTAGATGTAATTTTGGCGACACTTTTGCAGGTGGGAGTTGAACAACTGTCATTCAAACTACGCACACCAATCAGAGCCAGTATTGCTCTGGTAGTATGACTATGACCGCTAGTATGGAGAGAAGAAAAAGTGCTGTTGCAGTTTATATCAAAGGAAAGACGAGACCAGAAGACTAAATTCCCCCCAACAAATTTCGCGAAGACATATGTTTATCTTCAAACCGTTTATGAATAAGTAATAAGTATTTAAACAATAAGTAGGTGAATTGTGCGTTGACGCCCACAGTTACCGTTGAATCCTTATAATTCGTACTCGATCTTTGAGGAACAGTGGTGCATCAATAGTGCTATATGTCATATTGTTAAGAATGGACTAACGTGGAGTAACTGCTTCCAAACTGTGTAGTTAACAATACATAGAATAGGGTAGAGTGATACTTTATATTATGTAAGTATTACTTTGTAAATATTGTACAGTTGTAATAAATATAATAATAATAATAACATGCACATAACAACATGCACTACAAAAACAGGTCCACCCAATAAAATTACACGTCTTAGCACAGTTAAAAAACACAATACTCCTTCTTCTCAGAAACAACCCACTCGTATTCAACCGAAACGCAACAACCTTAAAAGCACTACAGGCTCACAAAATACTGTAATGTCTCCACCAATAACTCAAGCAACAACACAAATACAACCTCAAGAACAAAGAAACACCATAAATATAAGTAACGCAACATGCACTACAAAGACAGGTCCACCCAATAAAGTTACACGTCCTAGCACAGTTAAAAAACACAAAACTCCTTCTTCCCACAAACACACCACGTTATCACAACCCACTCGTATTCAACCCAAACGCAAAGCCAAAGAAACACTTACACAATAAACTCCATTTAATAACATTACAGGAATTATTATAATGATTTTTGTTTTGTTTTGTTTTCCTCTTTCCTGATAGCGTTGGCTTATTGTGCCCATCAATAGGTATGTTGGTAAGTATGAATTACATACTATCCCTAGATTTAAATGTACGTGTGTGATTATTATTTTTTTTTTTTTTAGGACCCTACATAACTTCACCAGACACAGACACACACACTAATCGTTACTTGATTTTAATCCGTGCGATTAGTTAACCAGGCTAGACCTGAGCTCTCACAAGAAACACCGAAACACCGACCATAATAATAATAACAAACACATGCCGATTTTAGTATTTGCACCAAAAAGTTTCTAAATGTTGTGTGTCATTTTTTCGGCAAATAAAGTGCGAAAATGAATGGATGACAATTGACAAGCCCGTGTGGACTCAGGAAGTCAGGACTGCAGACACTGGAGAACTTTAAAGCGACAATCTAAATATTTCTTACAGATAAACAGTTGAAGGACATATGCCGTTGCTAAGTTTTTTGTGGGAAATTCGGTTTTTCTGCGCGTTTTGAAATAAATACGCGCGACCGTGATTTTCGTTAGAAAACACCACAAGATCTGTAGAACTGTGATAAACCAAGTCGAAGCTTGTCATCCCTGTTACAGTAAATACGTCGACTATAAACTAGATTGACTTTATATGCTTATACAAAAACTACAGCGTCCATATCTCTTATTATCCACGGTGCTTTATATAAATTCAAATGCTACTAAAAAATTCTCTAACAACAGTTTCCTTGTAGTTTTTAATGTATGTTGCATTTAACGGTAATATTTGTTTCATTCTTTTTCAAATGATCCCAATATTTTCTTCCCACTATTTTATTGAAGTATAGGTATTGTATTAAACACGAACTTATAAATTAAGATGGACTGCGAATGCTGAATTGACAAATGTCTCCTACATAGGGGCATCCATGATGTGCACTCACTTGGCGCGAAATTCAAATCAACTAATAAATTTCTAAATAAATTATTGTGACACATGTCATTTTCCAAGGCTGCAATAGTCTCAAAACTTGAGCACTAGGAAAATTCCCCTAGAAAATAACTAAAACGTGCACATCATGGCCGCCCCGTGCTAGGGCTATTTCTACCTCTATGCAACTGTTAGATTTGTCTGTTTATAAGCTATATTTTTGCTAAGAATACTTTTTTTGATACAATACTTACTTTTAGAGTTATTTGGTTTTTTTGTTGAAAAATGAACATTTTCACTCGCAATTAACTCGAATACTATTGACTTAGTGAAAAAACTCTATAGAACAAAAGTGGCTTAGAAATACTCAATTTATCAATTTCCGGACTTATTTTGAACGTATCCTTTTTCCCCCCGAGAAGGGGTGGCATTCACCCCCCAAGTAAAAGCAACCCTGGGCTCAAGTTCACCTTTGAAGTAGAGGGTAAGAGGAACCTAAATCCAAATTTTGAAGCAAATCCGTCGAGGCGCGAAAAATTACACGGCAAAACGGTCATTTACTGTCCTAAAATGCCAAAAAATAAAGGAAGGACATCCAAAAGATTGAACGGTAGATAGGTACATAAGTTATTTTAGTAGCTTTATCGATAAAGTTATAGATATAAGAGTAGGTACGTACACACCTATTGGTTGATAAGAAAATTACAAAATAAAATGCTCTGTGTTTAGGTGACGTGTATACCAACTCAAAAGCTGAACTATGAATATCATAACAGTGAATTTACAATTATTACTAATTTTGTCTGTATTACATACTGTATTTGGTATATATTTTTACATTGGGGAAACGGAACGAAAATGTTTCATTGAGGATGTTCCTAAGGATACACATATTGTAGGTGAGTAGTACCTCATGGACTATTAGAGTAGGTATAATAACTCTTTTGAACTTTCAGTAAACTACAAAGTTGAATTGCATGATCCCCAAAATGATGGAAATGCAATATCTTCATTGCAAATTGGAATGCAGGTTGATGTTAATGATCCGGAGTCAAAAATACTATTGTCACGAGTGTATAGTTTAGAAGGTCGCATATCATTTACATCTCAAAAAAATGGCGAGCATGCAATTTGTATGAACTCGAACAGTACTGCTTGGTTTAGTGGTGCACAATTGAAAGTGAATCTTCATATTCAAGTTGGCGAACACGACTACGCGGAAATGGTGAAGAAAGAGAATTTATCTGACCTTCAGTTACGAATTCGTCAGTTACTAGATCAAGTGGAGCAAATATCTAAAGAACAAGAATATCAAAGGGTAAATAAGAGAGTTCTATGTAGGCATTCTAAATTTATTAACCTACATACCTTAGGATAAAGAAGAACTTTTCCGATTTATCAGCGAATGGACAAATTCTTCCGTATTTTGGTGGTCATTGGTGCAAATAGTAATTTTATTAATAATGGGTGCATGGCAAATGCGGCATTTGAAAAAATTTTTTGTAGCAAAGAAGATCGTTTGATTCGTTTCATATATACTCGTATTTACATGTATACCTTAAACCCATTTATTATCTGTAAATGTTAACGAATTAATCAATCCCAATCAATGGCTCTTAAAATAAAAATCATGAAATAGTTATTTATATAACAAGAGCGCGAAGTTCAATTTCGCGCATTGAGACTGAAGGTAATCAGTCAAATGCGCGAAATAACTTCGCGCTAGCGTTATATACAATATTTTTTCTACAACTGAACCGATTGTTAATTAAATTGCTGTTTAAGTTTAACTTTGTCCCGTGCGCGAAATACTTTTTTTCACTGTTGACGATTTCGCGCACGTTGTCAAGAGCAACCTTGCTTATTAATTAACCGTTTAAAAATCTAGTACTTCGTGTTTCGAAATCCGTCAGAAAATGACAGGTTTTTTTGACAGTTGTAGAAAATAGTATATTATATTATGAGGAGCTAAAGTGATACTTTTTATGGCGAGTCAGTGTTTGATGGCCGAGCGAAGCGATTTCAATAATGGTAATATGACTAACTGAACTTTCAACATTAACTATTATTTAAATAAATAAATAGCTTCTTTGATCGACTATATTTTTATTTCTGTTAAAATCAGAAGGAAAATCAACGCACTTGCTAGGTGAACCAAGAACCTAATGTAAATAACATCAACTTGTCAAAGCAAAACAATGTGACACTGGCACTGAAGCGTTTTAATGCCTAGGCACTAAAATACTTCACTGCCGCTTGTTCGATTGTTCTAAAAAGTCAAACTTTAACTCAGAGTGCTGGGCTACGTAATGTCAATATTATATGACGTTTGAAGAAAAAAGTATTTTAAATAAAAAAAATCAATGGTACTTCAGATGAGGAAGAAGTCAAAAATTTAATTCATCTAACATTTGTCACATTTCGACCAGTGAAATGTCTCGATTTCAAATTGCTGCGCCAATGGGAACGAATTATAGTGAATATTTCCCTCATATGTCATAAATGCCATATGAGGTGTGCAATTATCGCTCAATTACAGCGATAATTGCACTGTAGAAAGCGAAAGAGCCCTGCGATAATTGCACTGTCCATATCCATGGCAACTGGCAACTCCTTTGGACAATTTCACAATACACCGGCAATTATAAGTAGGTAACGTCAGTTTGACAAGTAATGCTTGTTCGGGAAATATTCCCCTAAATTACACTCGTGCATCAAAATAAACCTGATAATTTTTTATTCAAGCATGTTGTCAGTAAAAACTGCATTCGGTCATTTTCATATTTTGTTAAAAGAGCCCTCCACCTTCGGTGTCGGGCTCTTTCGCCAAAATATGAAAATAAACTCATGCAGTTTTTAGACAACATGCTTTCAAAAAAAATTATCGGTAATTTTGATGCACTTGTGCAATTACCTACGATAATTGCACGTGTGGTATTTCAGCGATAATTTCACGTGTGGTATTTCAGCGACAATTCAATGCGATTATTCAATGACATTTGTCAAACTTCCACCAGTGAAATGTCGCGAAATTTTTTCGTATTAACCGGAACATTCTTCTTAGTTTGTTAATCAATTTCGATAATCGACTCACAGAATACGGCCTTCAGAATAGAAACAGCAATGTTACAAATTTGTATGGTATTTTGGCGGACCCTGGTGGGTGTACTGTGAACTAAAGTATCAAAATCAGAGTAGCGCCATCTGGTGACCAGCTTCTAAATCCATGAAGTAATTTCCCCAATTCGATCTAAATCACAAATATAGATAAAGAAAACACAGTTGTTAAATTGCAAGTGTATTTAGATACAATCACATTACATTATTTAACACAGACATCTTAAATTACATGTTTACAAATTACATATAAAACTCAGAAGTAAGTGCAACTTACGCTTTGTAGACACTTTGCAAAAAGATCCTTACGTAACGAGTTGTCCTACGAAATATTTGGTTTTAATTGCTGTTTGGACTACATATTTTTGTTAAAAAATATCTTTAGAACTAAATTTTTTGTTCCAAGAGGTGATAAAACCGTTTAAGCAAATTGTCACACAAGTTTTTGACAACAAATGTTAACTTGATCCTGGTGCTTACTGGTTACTTGAGAAGCGAGGGTGGAAGTTGTTGAATTATCTAAAACGAATTACAATATAAGTAATTACATCTATATAAACATAAAACTCAAGTCTACACCCTTTTGCGCCTACAGGTACAGTTGGTAATAATTCTGCCTCAATTTGTAGGTACCTGTTACTTACCTTGCATAAATAGGAAAGAAATAACAGCACATTTCAACCCTCTTCGCGTTTCAAGCACAAAACAATCTGTTTCAAAATGTGGGAAACGATGCCTTTTTCTTTTTGATATTTTATTGTTACAATCCGCCACACAACACTTTTTACGGTCACATAACTTGTTCATATTTTAAATCTTTCAAAAGTCAAAATTGACATGTGGAAAACCTGTGTACGTATAAAATCGACGGTAATAGTATTTTACATTATTAGCCAGGTAAGTGAGTTTTTACTGGCGATAGGAGAAGTTGACCGGCGAGCCGTCAGGCGAGCCTGTCATCTCCTAGAGCCAGTAAAAACTATTACCTGGCGTATAATGTACAATATTTTATTTGTTACTCATTTGTAAACAATAGTAAACGTAAATAATTAGTTCTTCAATTGATCTTGAAGAAATGTCTAAAATATCATGTGATCCATGTAACAGAGACTTCGCATTAATTCTGGCCAATGAAATTACTAGATTACTAACTTGTAAAATTTTTACAGGTCTGCTGTCAGTTTTACAGGTCTGCTGTCAGTTTTACAGGTCTGCTGTCAGTTTTACAAGTCAGTAGCGTTTAAACATGACGTTTACCCGTTTGCGTTTTGTCTTGTTAATCAACGTTTACAACTGAGTAACAAATAATAGTTATTTACATATGAGTATGGTAAATCAAGGTTTACGTTAACGAGTGAGATGTTTACTACCGAAGCGTAGCTGAGGCAGGAATTTCGAAACGAGTAACGTAAACTGATTTGACATACAAATAATGTAAAACATTTTATTTCATACTGCTCTATTTCTATTAAAATACCATTTTGATTAAAATGTTGTAGGTACACATTAAAATAAAAGCAAAAGTCGATCACTTGATTTGATGACAGTAGTTTGACAAATATCAATGCATACGTTTAGATGGATGTCAGTTGCGGTTGCTAGGCAAAATTTCCAGTCTGGTAAAAATTTTCAGTCTGGTAAAATACGATTTACCAGACTCAAATCAGTCTGGGAAAGCGGCGATTACTAGATAGTATGAAATAAAAATATTTCCTGTAACGAGCAAAATTACAGGTTTTGCAAAAAAATATTTGAGTCTGCGATAAATAGTTCTCCGTACAACCACGGGAAACGCTGTAATCAGTGACAATTTAGCGCCATTTATGTTTCTGTTCTGTGAAGGTCTTATTCTGTGAATCGACTTATCACCACATCTTTTAATTTGATCACTCATAACGAATTAGCTTGGAGCACAAAAATTCGAATAGAATCAATAGCAAAATGAAAAGCAACTTCCATAGTTTATTTTGACGTTTATTGTTGTCATGGAAATAATGTCAAGGCTTCGGGATTATTATGTATAATAGTACATTATATATCAAGGTAGAGAAGTACAGTATTAGCCTCGAGCGCCTCGAGATGTAATCTTGGTTCTCAGGCAATAATAGACCTCTCTACCGTGGTATATATACTATTTTTTTCACTACTAGCACTTGAAGTCCTCTAAATTAACATATTATATTGATAAGAAAGTGAACGGTTGGAGAGAATTTTTTGTTTATTAATTTAACATGTCAATCAAGTGCGTTGAAGTACAAGTCAAATAGGCCGTATTTTGTTCTGTCATTGAAATATTTTCAAAGAGTATTCGAATTTTTTCAAAATGTGATAATTTTAGGTATGTAATTTCTCTGGAAATGGTGGATGGTGGTAATTATTCATTTTAGAGAACTTGTCTAAACGTTTATTGAGCGAAATTTCGGGTTGTGTTTTCTAAAAGTGACAGCGTGACAGTTCTCATTATTGACTACTAGTTAATAATGTCCCCATTATTAACCACTTTGAACAAATGTCGAGAAAGCCTACTTTACAAGTGGAAAAAGGATCATGCCATCAGACGCTAGTAGTGAAAAAATATACATTCGCGTGGCTTAATTTTTCTTTTGATTCATTGAATAGCCCTTCGAATACCATTCGTAGTCGAAGTATTTGTAGATTATTTTTGAGGTGCTGCTCCACTCATGCTAGTTACGCTTTTTAATACCACTCGCGCAAGCGCTCGTGGTATTAATCAGCGTAACTAGCATTCGTGACAGCACCTCAAAAATATTCGACAATACTTCGACTACCTACTGATGGTATTATATATGAATATACAACACTTCTGTCTTATAACATAACTTGGAAAGGTGATAGTGAAAGCATAATCCAGCCATTACGCCAAATTTGGAAATATTGTCGATTGTAAGCCACTCTGAAAATTTCAGTAGCACGATCATTTTTCCATATTTGCTAGCTCCGTAATTAATAAGGTTTGGGGACCCAAAAAACTAGAGAAAAATAAGTGTTTCGGTTGATTTTCCCCCGCGATCGACGCGGTACGCTCGCTATTGACGGAGAAATATCAGAGTGCGATATCAACGAAAAAACAAGTTTTAAAATAAATCCTATTATCCGATTGGACCCAATTGTGAATCTAAACCATCCGGGGGGACACAGAAACACACACACACAACAAATTTCCGTCAAAATCCGTCCAGTCGTTTAGGAGGAGTTCGACCACAAACACAAGAAATTTATATATAAAGATAAAAGATAAATAAAATTTGCACTTATATCTTTATGTCTTTGGTTTGCTCAGGAATCACAATGCTCTCAATGAATCAAACCGAGCCTGAATGATCACATTTTAAGTCTACCGCTTCTTCATCTTGCAATAATCTGAGGGGTGTATTGCAATCTTTGAAATATTCAGTAAATGGTGAAGGATGCGATTAAGTCATGAAATGTGGTAGGTACACTACTAACCGGCAATTACCAAACCGACGACGACTAGCCTGCGCTATACCAAACCGGTGCCGATCGTACCGGCGCTCGGTCAAACCGGCGCTGTGCCTTGCCGGAGCTCGACCAACCGGCGCTCGTTCGACCGGATGAATTCCTATTTGTGTGGATTGGATCTATTAAAATATTAAATATTAAAAGTTACGATCAACACCAATGCCGACAGAAAAGTTATATGTACTTAATTAATCTGATTCCTCTTTTTTGATCATTTTTTAAATCATAGTTAAAGTTCAAACCCCTCAACATCCCACCTAAAATAATTTGAAAATTCCATCGGCATGGTCATATTATGGCCATCCATGTTAACATTCCAAATTGTATGTTACATACTTTGCAGATTGTATCGACTGAACAAGTGCCTATATGCCAGTTTGACAATCGCCGGCATGACCAAGCGCCGGTATGACCGAGTGCCGGCTTGATAAACACCAGCATGACCGAGCGTCCGCTTGATATGTTGCCGGCTTGGTGTGACGCCGCGCCGGTTCGTGCATTGCGGGTTTGTCAGTTGCCGGTTTGTAATCGCCGGTTTGGAATGTTCCGATGAAATGCCACTAGGCGCCAAAGAGTATACTCTTTGCTTGGCGCAATGCAAATGTCGGGAGCCTTTCGTGCACCTTAGATGGGTAGGTCTCTACATAAGTAGTTTAATGGGTCTATTGTGACATAAACCAAATAAAAAAACCTGTACAGTTTCAATAGGCTTGTTACATGTGCCATATAGGTCAACTGTGCACAGTTTGAACTGAATCAGTCCAAGTGTTTGCCAGATATCGCGTTCACAAACAGAAAAACAGACAGACATGATCGGCTTGTTATATGTGGCTAGCATCGCTTTGCTCTGGCGCTTAGGTAATAATTATTTCATTTTTTGATGTATGAACTATGAATCGTCATAAAATATTGTTCTTACAAAATGGATGTTCCTGTGACCGTTAATATAATATGATATCGAACCAATTTCAAGTGTAGTTATAATTTGTTTGATATTATCGATAATTTCAGATATTATAATACTCCAAGTGGCCGATAAGAAAATTGTAAAATAAGTTGCTTATGTGGGTCTTGTCTATAAGTGACGTGTAAAAAAGTAAAAACAGAATTATGAACATAAATTTACTATTCTTATTAACTTTCTCTGTATTCCATAATGCATTTGGTTTGTATTTTTACATGGGAGAAACTCAACGAAAATGCTTTATCGAGGAAATTCCGGACGAAACAAATGTTATAAGTGAGAGTCGTAAGTAGTTATAGTGAATATTATTAACTTTTATAAACTGCAGTGGCCTATAGCGTTGAATTGCACGGTCTTGATCCTGGTGGTGGTGGTACAATGCTTTCATCCGATATTGCGCTGCACGTTGAAATCACTGACCCAGAGAACAAAATACAGTTGTCTCGCACATATAGTTTGAAAGGTCGTATATCGTTTACGTCTCACAAATCTGGCGAGCATAGAATTTGTATGAACTCTAACAGTACTGCTTGGTTTAGCGGTACTCAGTTGAAAGTACAGCTCGAAATTCAAGTTGGTGTAGGGGCAGTTAACTATGAAGAGATAGTGAAGAGAGAAAAATTATCTGACGTTCAGTTACGAATTCGACAACTGTTAGATCAAGTGGAACAAATTACGAAAGAACAAAATTATCAACGGGTAAAGAAAGCGTAATTGCTGAAGTACATACCAATTTGTAATAATTTGAATTTTAGTACCGCGAAGAAATTTTCAGATATGTGAGCGATGACACAAATCACATGGTTTTATGGTTTGCAGTAATACAAGCAGTAATTGTATTAATGATGGGTGCTTGGCAAATAAGGCATCTCAAATCATTTTTTGAAGCAAAAAAGATAGTGTAAAACTTTAGTTATCTAAATAATAATTTAGGGTTTTCAATGGACATTTAAGTGTACCTACCTCTACCTACAGTTTTACATTAATAAATTTGTAATTTAAGTATTACCTATGTCACAGATTAACTGAGTCTGTGCTTATGTGCATGAACTTATTACACTCATCCTTTGAAATATTCAAAGACTCATCTATCTGCTTTATTTAAAACATCGTGTCAATAAAACTAAGTTTACTTTTTTTAATTGCTGTGTGAATTGTGATATACCTGGACATCAACTGTCGATGTTTTTAGCGCATTTTTTAAGAATTAAAAAATATGTGCTAGTGTTTGAGTTTTGTCCGTCCGTCCGTCCTTCCTACAACTGCCGTTTCGAACTATTTCTAGGGAATGGTCCTAGAGTCCTGAAATTTGTTGCAGTAGGTAGCCTATATCTTGAAGGTGTGCCAAACGGCCATCAAATTTCGCTGTCTAAAAGGCCCCCCCCCCCCACGAATTTCATGAGGTGCTGTTTTTGAAAGTAAAACTTTTACATACGACAACCAATTGGTGTAAAATTTTGTATACGCATGCCTTTAGTGGTGTCAAGTTAAACTTTTTAAAGGGGGGGGGGGGGGTAAGTAAAACTTTGCAGGGGGGGGGGGGGTAAACACATGTTCTATCTTCATGTATTCTAATGAAAGGTCTCATCGAAATAAATTGTTTGTACAAACTATAACTTTCCCGTGCGACTTTTCGAGATCAGTGAGCGACGGGCGGCGGGGGGGGGGGTTAAAATTGATTTTATCTCTCATTGCATTGTACTTAAAGGTCTCAACGAAAGGAACCGTTTTCTACCTTTGTACCAACTTCTGTCCTTCTTTCTGTCTTATCAAAATAAGGGGTGGAGGGGAGGTGGTTTATCCTTCATGGTACTCTAATGAAAGGTCTCAACAAAAGGAATTAATTTCTACCAACCATAGCCCTCCTCCTCGACCTCTTATCGTGATCGGGTGTACATATTCCCTTATACCTCAAGAACGGATTGCCGGAAGAGGGTAATCAGAATCACTAATCACAAAGGGCGATTGAGACGTCTGCAAGAAATATATCCATTGGTGATGTCAAAGCAAAAGCTATTTCGGTTTAAAAAAAATGCGCTTTATCTGCACATGAGTTGTGCACAATTTATACTTGTTTCAAGATACTTTCGAAGTCATCAAGATAAATTTGTTTCGATTTCATTATCAGTTTTTGCCATTTATTTATGATCTTTGACCTGACCCACTGTCCCAATTTATCCACTTTATCTGTCTCAAAGGTTAACAATTTGTGTCATGTTCCTACATAATACATACTCAGTATAATTTATCACTTTTTACAGTGGGAAGAATTGAACAATACGTTACAGCAGTCTTTAAAAATGATTAACAAATATCTTACAGTTTTAACAGTCACCTGCATAATATCAATAAATGGAATATCTATATTTGAGGCTGGACCACCGAAACCTACCAATCATGCTTTAGTAGCAAGGGAAGTACTTCATAGTTCTGGTAAGCATGTGGTTTATTTCACATATAAGGTACCTATACTTTGCATAATTTCCAATTTTTCTACCTCCTATCAATCATTCGAGTGTATCTACTGATGTGCATAGAATCTATTTCAGTTTTTATAGCAAGTCTTTAACACTTAACAGTGGCGGTCCCAGGATTTGGTAAAGGGAGGGGTCCAAATAATAAAAGAAATCTCGCATAATGGAAATGAGATCGATACAAAATTGATGAAAAAATGGGCAATGGGGGAGGGGGAGCGGGCCCCCACTGGGACCGCCACTGACACTTGATAGTGTATAAGCTACAAAGAACAAGGTGCTATCAATGCATTGACAAAGATAAGAGTTATGATTTAATATTTAACCTCTGACCACTGAAGCTTGAAAATTACTATTAACTTGCGCCTGCGTCCTCCTGTTTAGTGCTGATACGATGTTGAAAAATGTTAATCTATTACAAAACCATGCTTACAACTTTCATAATAAGCATACTGGCAAATGACAATCAAATACTAACAAACATAAAATAACTACTACTATTTTGCAAACGTTACACGATAAATTGGCAACGTTTATATTCCAGAAATAAATTTCGCTAAAATATTCATTATTAACGAGCTCCTAGCGAGTTATAATTTTGCGATGTCTGTCCGTCTGTCCGTTAAAACGATATCTCGATAACGAATGGACCGATTATGATGTAGGTGGATTCTTTATCAAATTTGTAGACCGGAGTTGGTGAATTGGCAATATAGCCCAAAAAATAAGGAAGGCCCTTTTGACATCTCCGTGAGTTATGAACCGAATTGCATGAAATTCAATATGCGTATAGCTTTAGTCATATAAACCCAAATTCCAAAAGTTGAGCCTAATCGATCAACATTCGCAGTGCCCTTTTCGCATCTCGACCATTTACAAACCGGATTGCAAACTTTCTTATTTATGAAATCATTTAAATGAAATTTGATACATAGCCTTTTGGAATAAAGCAAATGTAACCCCAGTTTCAAAATTTGATTTTGTGCACGATGTGCAGTGCCAATTTTCTTATTTATGGAAGCAATTAAATGAAATTTTATACATATACACTTTAAATAAAAACATAACTAACACCAAGTTCAAAATTTGGTTTTGCACATGCTATAGCCATACCCAGCAGCTCGTTTTCTATATTTTTTTACACGTTTATTTAGCATGGGTATCGCTTTCGACTATTTCGACAATGCCAGACATCAAGTCGTTCCCATATGCAGGTTTAGAATCCATCGTGGACGGTATTGATGAAAAGGGAAATGGAGTACCATACTTCTTTGTCACAGCCTTAGATCAAGCGATCCTTGATATTCAAGTAAGTGTATGGAAATTCTATAGCCTGTCTAATTTAATGGAAATTTTAGGCTGATAAACGCTGTAGTGTGATGGCATCAATGGCTCAACAGGACTGGTGTGTTAAATATAATCTGGATCAAGAAGACCCAAGATGCCAACGTGTTGTATTAACTGGAAATTTTGTATGGGTATGTTCTGAATATTTAGTTTAACACTTCTATCAAAGAGTACCCTTACTCTTTGCTTCTATTTTAAAAGATTTATACCAACCAAAGTTTTAAAGGTGCATAGCAACTATTTTGTTTAAACAATGATTTAAATAGAAATTTTACTTTACTAGCAGCTCAATATACAGAGTGTCCAAGACAAGATGAGTCGATTTTAGACCTATATAATAAGAAACTGATACGAATAGATTTCTGAAAGTATCTCACTATATTTAGACTTTATGCTGTATACTGTACTTATTGTCTATAGCTTGACAACAAAACAGAAGAATACACCAAGGCCAACGAGAACATGCTAAGGAAACATCCCCAGTTTAAATATTGGCCAAACGGTAAATATACTGCATAACTAAGTACCTCTGGTACATAGTTTTAATTTTCACAGCACACGACTTCACTCTTGCGAAAATGGATATTAAACAAATCACACTATTCGACTGGTTTGGTGGAATAAAAACAATAGACCTTAAGGAATATTTTAATGCATACGATAGCAATGAAATTTGAATGCTTGGAACAGAATGGGAATGACATGAAATTTAAATAAACTGTTTTCATCCTGTAAGCTTCGTTTTCTATCACTTGAAAAAACTGTTTTTTTTGTAAGACTTTGGAAAATATATATGCAGAAAATTGGGTATGTAGTCAGGGACGTAACAAGACATATGTGCGGGCCATGGTGCAACACCAAATATAGGTACGGGTCCCCTCGGCGTCATTAAAAAAAAGTCAACTGTAACATATAGTACTAGGAATCCACCGATACTGATATTAATATTATATCGGCCGCCGATAGCTGATACATTCATATAATTATGGTGTGGCCGGGATAATCGGGAAATCCTGGAATTGTTTCTTATTAGTTTGATTCGTGGATTAAATAATTTGATTCGTAGTTTAATTATTTAATTAATCAATCCGTGAATTAAATTAATCGATCCATGAATTAAATGAATTGGACTAATAATTATATAATTAAACTACGAATCAAATTGATTAATGCGCGAATCAAACTATTTAGAAGAAATTCTAAGAAATCAAACGCCTAATTAAGTTAATCGACCCGCGGATTAACTTAATTACCTACATAGTAATCAATTTAATTGATGACGTCATCAATTAAATCAAATGTCAATAAAGCTCAAAATCGTACCAATTTTGAATTAATTTATCAAAGTCCAAATTCCAAAAAATTCCCGGAAATAATTTACAATTTACTTATTGTTCATCAAAAGAATTTTTTCTTAATTGGTAATACAGTGAAATCACTTAATTCATTTTAATGTTGGGGATACTGCACATCAATTTTTGAATTTTACCACTTTGCTAAGGCGATGTCTGTAGTTTGCTGGTGGGGAGATACAAATGCAGCACAAATAGTTATTTGTTTCATTAGTACAAAAAATGTCAGTTTTCGGGACGAGGAAGATAGTTGCTGGACGACGCGTTAGCGGAGTCCAGCAACCTTCCGAGTCCCGAAAACGCATTTTTTGTACGAATAAAACATAAAATTTTTTCTCCAACCCCCCTTACTTCAAATTATATTCGAATTTAGATTCAGTCACAGTTTCACTACTATAGTATAAGAACTTCTGCTTTCTTGTCCTCACGTGTCATGCCACTCTAGTTTTTAGGTTAACTTATTACCTATTCGTTCTTACTTCTTACTTCTCACCTCTCGCGACTTTTTAGGGAGCAAATCTTGAGGTAGCATGTTCTGCCGTTTCTATAATCTCTGGCGGAGTGCAATCCATGTCGCTATCAGTTTCAGTCATTTTATTGTATACACAATTAATATTGTTATATTTTGTATTGAAATAAAATACTTACCATACAGTTTTTTAATTAAAATTAATTGCAATTAACTTTTTCAAATTTTGAATTCAAAATGACAGATAATAGTGCAATGGGTCTGAAGTAGATGGCGTTACGCGCGACGGCGGGTTGTATACGTATTAAAATTACATTCACGGAATATCTAAATTACGTTACACATGGTTTAAATAAAAATAGCGAGCGTAAATCATTTTCAATACATGTACATACGTATAGGTAACATCATTATTTGCATTGAATATGCAAAAAATATTTGATTTGTATGTATAGAAATATCTTACAACCTGCAATGTAAAACGATGTCAATGTGACATATCTCCGTGATTGTAATTTTTTAATTGGCCAATTTTCAAGGTCAATTTCTTTTTGGTACTAGGACCAAAAGTATCCACTTTTTG